ATATAGAATCATATCTTATTTTAAAAAAATCAAAAAAATATTATAGAAAAATTAGATAAATGTATTAAGGGGGTGTTTGGGATTACTTATTTAAGTGTTTATTTGTTTATTGCTGTTTGGCAATGCAAATAAGTTTGGATAGAGAAAAGTTATAAATGCTTATTGGCTTAAATAAGGATTTTGTGATAAGTTCTCTTTATTTAAAACTCCAAGAGTTGAAAACATATTTACCATTTTACCTATATTTTATCTCAAAAAATGTTTAAAAATGTTTTATATGCCATTTATTTTTCCAAAAGCACCGTACAGTTTTTTTTACGTATCATTATTTTTCTTCTTCTTTCATGATTGCATAGACCATTGAGACATATGATGCTACCTACCAAATATTAATTTATATAATATTTTATGGTTTCACATTTAATAACTTTTAAATATTATTTATTGATATAAGTCTTTGAAAATATTTTAAATTTTAGTAATATAAATTTAAGTAAAAGATATTTTTCTTGATATTATTGATGAAATTTGTAAACGATATTACTATAAATGATAAACACTTTTCTTATATATAAGGTAGATAAATAAATAGTACTGGTATATAGATATGTTTTTTTGTTAAGTTGTTTACTCCTTATTTAAAAATTTTTATTAGAGTTGAAAACATATTTACTATTTTAGCCATATTTTAGGGAAATTGAGTAATCTAATCATTTTTTTTGTTGTTTTAAAAAAAAATAACTTTTTTTTTTGGCAAAATGACCGCTTGGCCCGGAATGGGTTGTTCCGGACCTGATTTTAAATTCGGTTAAACGGGTAGATAATTCCGACCCGATAATCTGGTTCTCCTATAAATATCATTTAACCCGTTTCGGACTACACTTCGACATCTCATTCCGGACACATCTACAACTGAAAATGTCTTTTGATAGCAGTAAAGAAATGTAGTTTTTATTTGTAAGTTTCAAATTTGTTTCTAACCAAATTCATTTACTTTTTATTTTTATTATACATTAAAAAAATCAGTTTACGCAATTATATATGTACTATAGGGTTTTCTGTGAAGTTTAATCTTGTTAAGGCAATTATAGGAGTACATAAACTTATACATTTATACTACATGATACATCATAATCAAAAACCCTAATTTTTTCTAGTCCGGAACGTGTCAGGAATCTAAAAATCAAGTCTGGAATCCGAAAATCATGTCCGGAATACAATGAACTGGGTCCAGAATTTTGATCCGGACTTTATGGTTTGGAATACTGTACCCGATTTTCGGATTCCGGAACATACATACAAAAGTCCTAACTTCGGAATACAATCAAAAACCCTAATTCCGGAATACAATCAAAAACCCTAATTATGCTCTGAATCATACATACAAAAATCTCTAACTAATAATTCTTTTGATTGTAGCACGATAGAACATATGCAACGGTTGTTACTACAACCTGCAAACCTGAACTTGGGCGCGAAATCATGGCTCGCTTACAAAACCGACCAGTTTGTGCGACGATGTTTAGGCAATCATATTTTGGTGATTACGTGAACATGCCGATGGGTGTCGAATGTCACCCTTTACTATGTCACTATCTTATGAGCAAGGGATTTACTACTTTTGATCCAGTTGACCTAGAAGAGTTTCTATTTTCGGTTGGCGACTATCGGGTTTGCTTGGATAGGAAAGCATTCTGCTTGGTCACCGACTTGCGGTTCGGGGATTATTTCCATCCTAGTTCTGGTTTTACATCATTTAGAGAACGTGTGTTTCCATTTGTGTCGCTTTCACGTTCAGTGAGTATGGATGACCTTACGAATGTGTTCAATAACTCACTTCATCAATTAAGCAATGAAGACGTGGTGAGAGTCTCCCTGTTGTATATGCTAGAGCAAGGATTTTTGGGGAAATACCCGCGACAGCCAGTTACTAATGAATGTATGACACTTGTCTCTATTTTACAGGACTTTAATAGGTATAACTGTTTTTTACCCACATTATATCAAAATGATATATATACTTATTAAGTGTAATTTTTTGACATAGGTACACATGGACTGATTGATATGGGATTTCACTTACAAACAGCTGTGTACTGTGTTTGATAAGATCGAGGACCATTTGAACCCAAATGCACTAAGAATCGGCAGTAAACACACATATACTCTGCAAGGATTTGTCTATGCATTTAACGTATGTACACTATGTTTAATATGAGTTTTTAAACAACATGTATTGTAACTATGTTAACTTGGTAAGTTGTTTGTCATCTTAGTTTTGTAGATTTGGATCTTCGAGACATTTCCCAACAGTAGTATTGCTAGTTCCCCTATACCGGGTGTTACCCTCGGGCAGTTGCATACCCTACGATGAGGCGTTTGCATGCACCTGATTGTGAACATATTCTCGATGTTACTAATGTATGTATTTTAGTCCACCTTATAATTTATAAATTGATATGACATTAATAACTTACTATTAACCTTTATATATTGTTTTTTTATGCAGCGTTCCCCAACGAGTTGTTGCAGCCTACTGCGTAGGAGCGTGCTGCTAGGTGGTGGATTGAGAGTGTCCAGTGGAAAGATGTTGCATATTACGCTAATGTTTGAGTTATGGTTTTCTTTGTTAATGTTTTAAAACAATTGTCTTTTGAAGATGTAGCAAAAACAAGTTTATCCTTCCGAACAACATTTTGTAGAATATTATGATATCGTACAAACATCACTATGGGTTATTTAAATCAACAATATCATATTGGTTGGCTACCTTTTTTACTAGTATGTCTACTCTTAGACTGAACATTATTTTTGCCACTTGACTTGGTCCTACTTGAAGATTCACTTTTTGTTGACTCTGCGGGAAACGCAGCGTCACGGTTTTTGCTTGTGTGACTGATCCTTTGGCAACGACTACATTTTTTCTGAATCGGACCTTCACCTTGGGATGGGATACAGTTATGGTTTTTAGGTCGTATGACTTTTCGTTTTTCCATTATGGTGGCAAAACAACCATGACTTCATCTGGTTCTTCGTATTCAACTGGAACTAGGATAGGCGTCACACCCCCAAACCACGGATGGCGGAAACGTCCGGGGGTGGCGGACTTCATGTATAGTATCATAACAACGAGTATAATAGTGACCAAAGCAAATACAACCATCATAATATAATTTAGAAAGTTACACTATAGTATGAGTTTACATATTTCAAAATCAATTACATTATGATGACAAAAGGTAATGTTTGACGACTTAACGTCCCATCCTCAAAAGCTGTTGATTTCCCGATTCACTGATTTCCTGAGAATACAAGTAGTTTTGAAAAAGTTTCAACAATTAAGTTGGTGAGTTCATAAGCTTTTGGATGTAGAGTTTGAAAGCCTTTGTTTGTAAATGTAATGTATACTTCAAGAAAATCCAAAGTTTTCCTTATAAAATGTTTGTAGCCTTAAATCCCAAGACCGAATGTATGAGTGTTTTGTACTTGTAACGTGTTTGTAATTGTAATGTATACCCAAGAAAAATCCTATATTTTCCTTATAAAAAGTTATGTTGTCTTAAATCCCAAGACTGAATGTATGAGTG